ACAAGACACTGCTATGATGTGAGCCCGCCCATTGGGCTTCCCGCTTTCCTGTCCATAACTGGGTGGGGTCCAGATAAGGCTTCTTAATCGGCCACATCTGGAAAGATCACAGTCAACTTCCCACCATAGTCACTCTGAATTTCTAACCTAGAATCAAGACAATATTGGAATCATGACCCAAACCAGAAAATTTCGGCATTAACGTCAGTCATTCCAGTTTTTAATAGGATGAAATTTCTGTTTGTCCTGTAAAATGGAGAAGTAGTCTGACAACTGAGAGGCAGTGAAGGGGTCTAAAGAGCTGACATTGAGGTAGATTTGTGTGCCATTTTCATCTGTGAGCAGTGCAAAACTGAAATATAAGTGGAGGCCAAGAATGGACCCTTGGCATCACCAGAGGTGAATGCAGGAGTGGGAAAAAATTTCACTGTGTGGTTCTGTGATTAGATTAAATAGATACGAATTAAATAGTTCCACTCAGGCACACAACAGTGGATGAACTTCAGAAGATGATGTGGTCAACCATATTGAAAGAAGGACGGGAACAAAAGATAGAGATGCCATATCTGTGGCTTTGAAGTAAATTGTTTAGATGCTGTGACAGAGATGGAAACCCAAATGGAGAGAGTTAAATAAAGACTTCCCAGAAGAATGGGCATGAATTTGGATGGAGATGCATTCAAAGAATTTGGAGTTTGATGACAAGACAAGATTGAAGGGGTCAGAGGTCCCTTTTTTGAGCAAAGAGGAAGTAGAAGAGGCAGCTGATTAAATGGTTTCGCTCTCAGTGATAAAGAAACTTAATGGTTTGGTTTGCAGGTGAGGTGGGGGAAACAGGAGAAAGACTTTAATAAAATAACTTGTAATTGAGAAAAGAAACCAGGGTTACCTTTGGATTGGGTGATGATCCTGGAATACTGAGCAGTTTTGCAGATTAGAGCGGTACCCAAATGTAGTTTATGTGATCCAGTCAGAACTGAAAATAAATGTCCAATACAGTTAATCCATTTAAATCTGCATGTTGGACTTAAGTGAGCAGATATAAAGGTCATATCAGGAGGAACTGAACAAGGGTTATAATGATGATAAAAGCATCAAAGATGGAGCTAAGTTATTGTTGTGTAGCTGGGGAGTTGCAGTAATGTCAACATTGAACAGAGGGCCAATGGCTGGATAAATGGGATTTTGAAAGTAAAACGTTAAGAAAATTATGAGAAAAATGCAGGTCAATGGGAGTAAATGGATTGGTTGTTCACTAAAGAAACAATGGGCGCAGTGGTCAGATCTGAAGAGATGGCTACCAGAAAGCTAACTGCCCTCAGGCAACAACACACTTCCCTCATTAACCTATCCAACCTTTTTTTTTCACTTCATCCAAAAGTATACAAACTACCCCCAATTTCCTATTCCTGTTTCTCTCTAAAGTCTTTGAATTTATTTCATGGAGCTCCATGTTTGAATTACTCCAATCAGGTTTCCACCCCTGCCACAGTAACTAAATAACTGTTATAGCAATGACACATCACATTCTCTGTAATTGCTTGTTTGTCTGGCAGTTCTTCTCCTGTTACTCTTGTGAAACAAATCATTTTGCCTAGCTCAGAGCAACTCCATCGTGACCAGCCGTGAGATATTAGAGAACCTTGCAGCCAGCCTGTCATGATGGGCTACCTTGTCCTTTCTCTAAAAGCTAGTTCCCATAGCGCTGATTTTCGCAGGCTGTATGCTGTTTGAATGGCCTTTAAAATCTGCACTTAAAACTACTATTTCTATCTCTGATTACCTTCTTGTGCTTGCAGTCCATCATTGAATGGATATGACAGAGGTGATCCACAAATTGGTTGCCTCCAACAAAATGCTGCATTTGGTCTACTTCAGACTCTCACAGGGCGTATAGAACTGGAAGTTGAGTTGGGGTAGTGCTAAGTTTGGGAAAATCAAGGTCTTAGCATCATATTTTGCTGTGATTTGAACTTCTGACCACATATTTGCACCATCTCTAAGACCAAACATTTACAATTTTTTTCATTCTGCTCACTTTTTCCCCATTTCAGTTCACCTGCAGCTGAAACCGTCATTCTTGCCTTGTTATGTTTAGACTTGACCATTCCAAGGTGACCCTGTTGCTCCCTTGTTCTAGTCTCTGTAAACTTGCAGTTATCAAAAAATCTTGCAGCCCATGCTTTAACTCAAATAAGGTTCCATTCCCCTATTGCTCCTCTTGCTCACTGACTTACACCAACTCTTAGTTAAACAACACTGTATTTTCAAATTTCTCAGTGGCCTTGCCCCTTCCTATCTCCATATTCCACTCTAGTCTCTCAAGCCTCCAAGACATCTGTGTTTCTGGCCTCCTGAGCATGCCCAATTTAATTACACCACCATTGATGACTGTACCTTGTGCTGCTTAAGCCCTAAGCTTCGAAATTCCCTGCGTAGCCTTCTCTGCCTAGGTATCTCGCTTCCCTGTTTTCACACCTTAACTCTAACACTTGACTAACACTTTAAGCACTTAATATCCCCTTACATGGCTTAGTGTAATGTTTTGGTTTATAATGCACTCTGATGTCCCTTGTGACATTTTATTACAATCAACATATTGTTATAGTGGTTGCACATTTTATCAATAAAATAGGTCTTTTTTGAATTGTGATGCTTTCTAGAATATTTGCTCTTTGGATATATCAACATCCTGTTTGTCCTCCAGGTTTTCATGAATATTTCAGTTGAAAGGTTTGGACGAAGTGCAGGGAGTTACCTTCGCTGTCTTAGCCAATATTTATCCTTCGATCAAATTCACTAAAACAAACTAACTAGCCATTGTTGTTTGTGGGAGCTTGCTATGCACAAGTTGGCAGCTGCATTTCTTATATGATAATTATGATTAAATACCAATAATGTAAAGCACTTTGAAATCTCTGCCAAACACTATATTAATGCAAGTCACTTTCATTTTCAGATAAATGCATATGTATTTGACATAGTTTTCCAAATTTGGGTAGGTTTATGCTTCAACAGGGCCAGATTATTTCTGGACCTGGTTGTGTATGAATATACTGTATAGGCTACTTGAACAGAGGTTTTGCTACATGTGTACTACTGTGGGTGTTTCAAGGGCTACTTTCTCTCTCATTACCCCAGCTGCTGCATGGCCACATATTGCTCAAGGGCATTAGGATGCCTGACATTGCTGTGCGTTGGTTCTTCTTTGGCTTCCTTTACAAATGGCAGTTCCTGTGGTTGTTTTCAGTGTTAGCTAAATTGAGTCTGTTCACAAAACGATAGCCTGGTGATTTTCCAATGTTAAATGCAGTCTGGTGTTATTTGCTTACATTGGACTGGTTCTATCAATAAATTGGCCAAATATCTTTCAGGGATTATTTGGTAGTTATAGATGGAAAAATCAGCTGTTGTGCTGACTGTTTGTGCTGTTACCATAGATTATGCCATATAAGTTCAAAGTCTTCAATATTCTTTCAAAAACAGGGGCTGACTTACATGCAGAATATAAAATGTGAACCACCAGTGAAGATGATCATGGTTTATAAATTCGGATAAAAAAATTTAATGCCGGTAATTAATAATGAGTGAATGTGGCATGGTTTGTTGAATAAATTAATTCTATAAAGATGCCCTTAACCAGAATCAAAGCATTTCAAAACCTGTCAAATTCATTATCTATGGCACCTGACTCAAGGAGTTCATTGAAATCCAGCTGAGTCACGATAGTCACATCAACGTAAGGATCCCACTCTAAATTAGATTTGGTGCTTTTGGTTTCATAGTCATCCTGCCACAACAATTCATCTCCCTTTCCATCATGTTGATTTGGATATTCTGCATTTTGGATATTCTGCAAGAACCTGATAACAGTTTGTGCACTAATACCATCCCATGATTTGATTGAAAAAGTACCACAGAAAATACCAACGGGGCAGTAAGCATATTTTTACTCTTTGTGAATGTTTTATGTAGGACAGCAATCCCCTTTTTTCAATTCAGCAAGAACATGAACCTTGAATGGCTTGTTGCAAGAGACAGCCAATGGTTCACTACGGCCAGAGAGCGCTGAAAGCATAACAACCAATGGTGGGACAAAGAATGAAGGAGGTGCATAAGAATCCCAGTATTGGAGGAGAGGAAGTTCTGAGATAGACTTGGGCTGGAGGAAGTTGCAAGAGACAGCGAGGTTTGATGGAGGGACGTGAATGCATGGATGTGAGTTATTAAGTTAACATTTTGGTAGACCAGGAGCCAATGCAGATCAGCAAGCACAGAGATGATAGTTAAATGGTATTTAGTGATGGGCAGAAATTGAGCAGCAGCTTTTTGGAGAGCCAGTTTACAGAAGATGGAGAATCACAATAATTGTTGCAGAAATTATTGTTAGAATCTAGTGCAGAGAAATTGTACTAGCAGTTGCCTGTTACTGAAGAACTCTTTAAAAAGAAATCTTTCTAAGGTACATGCACAAATTGACAGTGGGAAACACATTTGGACTGTAATTGTTTAATTTCGTTATCAGTATATTGAGACCAACATTGCATGAAGCCCTGAAACCACTTAGCCTTATATTCTTTAAATGGGGTAGAATTTTGTCAGTGTCATGGGAAGTGGTATGTGTGTATCCTTTTGCTTTTGATTAAAATCAAGCTCCTCAAAAACAAAGCAAAAATCAGTTTCTGCTGATTCTCAAAATCTGGTGGAACACTGATTTGTGTTTATTTCAGAATGTGACGACAGGAATGTTTTAAGAACAGAACAATCAAGACAGCTTTACCAATTGTGTTCATTTTGAATGCTCCAGGCATATAGGACCAGTAAATAATATATAATCCGCTCAGTTACCTGTAGCTGTCATATCAAGTTCTCCAATTGTAAACAATGTCTGGTTGACTCATTTGAATTTATAACCTTGAATATTAACATGGGAATGTATTGGGTAAAAGACAAACCTTGTGATAATCTTTATGAAGCATTTTATTTTCATTAATAGGGGAAACAATAGAGGATGCTGTACGAAGGGAGGTTGCAGAAGAAACTGCTGTCAAGGTTGGGAATGTTCAATATGTTTCCAGTCAACCCTGGCCAATGCCTTCATCTCTAATGATTGGTTGCCAAGCTGTTGCTGTAACAACTGAAATCATTGTGGATGAAGAGGAGATTGTAGATGCCCGCTGGTTCAGTTGGCAGCAGGTAGGTCAAACTATTAAGACTTGGATCACGGACAGTTTATTGGATGCTCTAGTTCATTCCTAATGATGTGAAATAACAGTGTGATCTGAGAAAGGATAGTTGGTTCGTCAAAACAAAGGAAGGAATGATTCACCTCATGCTGTTCCATCACCCTGTAGGCCTACATATTTTTCCTTTTAGGATAGTTTAATTCCCTTTTGAATGCCTCAATCAAACGTCATCAGATGTCTGTGGACAAAGGGGTCAGCGTGAGAGCGAGGTAGACAATTCAAATTAAAAGCAAGGGTCACGTCTTGTGGACTGATAGTGTTCTGCAAAGTGGTCACCCAATCTGTGTTTATTCTCCCCAATCTAGAGCAGACCGCATTGTGAGCAGTGAATACAGTATGGTAAATTGAACTTGCCGCACTTCATTCTGTCAGGTGCAACCATAACATTGTCATCAGACTTGCTGACAAGGATGGTGCTGTTACCATCTGGCAAAGTGACCTCTAACTCCTAAAAGTTAAATGCCAACTTTCCAACATTTTCTCTTTCTACCTTCTGGATTATGTCCTCACTACCAAACATCAAAGCGTTGTATCAAGGATCTTCCCTCCATGGTGTCCAACTCTTGGTCCCATAACCCTAAGCTACCTCCAATTCTACCTCCTTCCCAAGAGGCGCACACATGACTACTCAGGTAGACCTGCCATTTCAGCCTATTCCTGTCCATCGAGCTTATTTCTCCCTAAATCAACTCTATTTTCTTTCCCTTAGTCTGTGTCTTCCTACATACATTCTGGCTTTTCTGATGCCTTCCTCACTTTGAGCTTCCTGATCTCAATTATCCTCTTCCCAAAATATGTCCCATCTTTACTCAGAGAGTTGAGAATTCTCTCCCACAGAGGGCTGTGAAATATCAGTCTTTGAGTATGTTTAAGGTAGAGAATGATAGATTTTGAATTACCAATGGCATACAGGGTTTATGGAGATGGGTGGGTAAAAGACATTAGTGTTCAGTCAGCCTTGATTGTATTGAATGGCGAAGCAGGCTCATCAGGCTGCATCACCTACCCCTGTTTCTATGTTCCTGTCTTCCTATATTCCCATCACAGACCAGACCGATGGCACTACACCACGTTCTTGAATGGAGGCCCAACCAGTTTCCATCTATGACCAACATCCTCTGCCTGGCTGAGCTTGGTCTCATTTGAACCTTTTCAATTCTATTCATTATCCTCCAAGTTAAAGATATTTCTATGGATAAACATATATGTCCTAGCTATGCCTGACCTATTGATGGATACATATAGAGGCTGAATAGGCTGGGCTGTTTTCCCTGGAGCATTGGAAGCTGAGGGGTGACCTTATAGAAGTTTATAAAAGCATGAGGGGCATGAATAGGGTGAATACTCAAGGTCTTTTCCTCAGGGTAGGGGAGTCCAAAACAAGAGAACATAGGTTTAGGATGGAGGAGAAAGATTTAAAGGGGACCTAAGGGGCAATGTTTTCACACAGAGGGTGGCGCATGTATGGAATGAAATGCCAGAGGAAATGGTGGAGGCTGGTACAATTACAACATTTAAAAAGCATCTAGATGGCTATATGAATAGATAGGGTTTATAGGGTTATGGGCCGAATGCTGGCAAATGGGACTAGATTAATTTAGGATTTTGATTGGCATGGACAAGTGGACTGAAGGGTCTGTTTGTGTGCTGTATATCTCTGACTGTACTTGGCGTTGCTTCCTTCACAGCCAGAAATGTTCTGCAGAAAGAAGTCATGGTACTGTTTCCTAGAAAATTTCATCAACTTTTCTTCCAAATGCCACCATCCTCCAACCTTCACTTGGATCACCTCCAGCTTTTCCCTTCCTTGACTTCTCTGTCTCCATTTATTGAAATAGGCTAGCAACACATATTCACTGTAAGCCCATTCTCTCCCGTAGCAATTTGACTACAGATCCTCACACCCGCTTCTGAGAGGACTCCTTTTAATTATCCATCATTTAACTCTACAAGATCTCCCCACACCACCGGCTCAAGACCATGTCCACGACTGTAACATCTCCTGCATTTTGCTCATCTTTTCCACTCCCCCTAGAACCATGACAGGTTACACCTTATTTTCAACTTCACCACACCAGCCTCTGTATTTCACATAGCCACCACCAAATAAGCTTCTCCTCCCATCCCTTTCATCATTCTGCAGGGACTGTTCCCTCCACTACACTGGATCCACTCCTTAGTCACCTCCAAGACGTCATCCCTTTTCCATGGCACCTTTCCATTCAAGAGATTCAAGATTTGTCTTTTATTTACTTTCTGCTTACCATCTGAGGCCAATAATTTCCCCAGTGTTTTTCAGTGCACACACCTCTGAGGTCTTTGCACGGCAGCAGTTTCCGAAAGCAGAAATCAATGCATTGAACACGGCTGCACAGCTTAGAGGAAACACTGTTCTAAAACCCTAGAAATTCCTTCCAAGTGAAACAGCGATTTTTCCCACCGTACTCACTATTCACCATGTGGTCTACTTTAATTGGGAGACTAAATGCAGATTGAATATTCAGAATACCTCCATTCAGTCTGCAAGTGTGGCCCTTGACCTTCCAGTTGCCCAGTATTCTAATTCTCCACCTTGCCCTATTGCTGACCTCTGTATCCTCAAACTCTTGCATTATTCTAATGAAGCTGCATGTCAGCTGAGGAACTGCACTTCAACTTTTGTTTAGGCATTATACAGCTTTCCAGACTCCGCATTAAATTGAACAATTATGATTGTTCATAATTGAGAACTGAGATTATGATCTGTGCTCATTGGTTTCCTATTTATTTGCATATTTCAGTCTTAGTCTCATTTTTCCCTTGTTTTATTTGGGTGGTAGCTGTTTATCATTTTGCCATTCACTCCTCTAGCCACAGCTTCTGATCCTTATTTATTCCAATGCCACTCCCTTCACCCTAGTCCAACACAATTTTTTGTCAATTAATCTCTCTCATCTTCCATCCTGTCATAGGTCTTCCCTTCTCCACCTTGTCCCCTTTTACTTGCTTAAAACAATTATGTTTCCAACCTGACCTTTTCAATCTCCCTCCAAAGATGCTGACTTGTTGAATTCTCCCTGCATCTTTTTTATTTTATATTACTAGTGTTGGTAATTTTGCTCCGTCAAGAGCTAATTATTTTTGTTTCTTTTGATTTAGCTGCAGAGCAGAATTTCGAGTATGTTTCTGACAAAGCCTTACTAATTGACTTTTTATTTGAAGTTTCCAGAAATCCTTATCTCAAGCAAACTAATTGTATAACTAAATTATACAGATAAACCTTGATCATTACAAAAGTATAGTCGATGAAGCCACAACTGATATCTAATAAAATTGCAAAGCAGCTTTAATTATTAGTGGTTAAATTAAATGAATTTTGTTTTAGCTATTAAATATTGAAGATGTTATCTAAAAATCAAGTTAATAACATTTCTAGGAGAAATGACTCCATTCAAAATCTAATGTGTTTTCTTTTGTTTGTTGATATCACAGATTACTGAAACCCTGACACGTGAGAATCATCCAATTAGCATTCCACCACAGCAAACTATCGCACATAGACTAATTAAAAAGTGGCTTAAAAAGAATGCACACCTCTGAATGCATTTTTCTGAAGAACGGTCTAGACCCAAAACGTCAGCTTTTCTGCTCCTCTGATGCTGCTTGGCTGCTGTGTTCATCCAGCTCTACACCTTGTTATCTCAGATTCTCCAGCATCGGCATTTCCCACTATCTCTGAATGCACTGCTGTGCATACAACATCGTATTGACCAGTTAAACCAGTGGATTTGTCAATCTTTGTGAGAAGACAGCAGTAATCACAACAAAAAGAGCATTAGGTGCAGTAACCTTCCACTTATTACACTGCTGTAAATTCTCATAAACAATTATCTGGAATATTTGATTAACTGGTCTCATAGGTGCCAGTTAATAAAAAAGTTTGCTGTACTTACTTTATTCCAGATAATCAATAGGTACACATAACCGCAGTAAACCACAACCAAACAAAACTTTGAGACATAAATATCCCTCAAAAAATCCATGTTAAAACATCGACACACCTCCTAAAATAAGTGTAAAAATACACAGTAAGTAATAGAAATGTAATGCAGTGGGTACATATGTCACTGGTATATTTGATTTACAGCATAAATACTCTGACCTTGTGGTTTTTGAGGTGTATAATTTTTGCCAATTTACCAAGAGTGCCAGTTGATATGGTGCTGGTTAAAACAAAGTTTGCTGTATTACATTTACACATAAGCTAGTAACATTAATTTGAAGCAATTTTGATTTGTTTATGGTACATGGATATATTTTCAAAATAATTCAAATTGATTTACTACTTCAAATTATATGTGGATGATTTCCTCTGTTCTGAAGTCAGAGCAACTTCTCAAGCCTCACTCGAAGTATATGATACTTTTCCCAGACATCTGGACGTGTTTCTTTACAGTTTTCAGAGCCTTACACATATTCCATTTTCAGAATTGTTTTGCTTCAAATACTGGACTATAACAAAACAGTTTAAAGCCGCCAATCTCTTACAAGTTAGAAACATAGGCAATAAATTTAATCTTACCCATGCAGAGAAAAATACAGTAAGAAATCTGTTTGTACCAATGAAACCTGTCAGGAGTAATTTTCACTTGTTTCTCCAGGCAAATAGCAGTTAATTAACATCATAGGGAGAAAAGTCAGGAGAAGTGTGAAAAAGGACTGCTAAGTTGTTGTTCCTGAAGATTCACCTGACAGCTGTAATGAACATAATTTTGTACTTTATGGAGTAGAAGCTGATTCTTTGAAATCATCGCAAAAACAAATATCCTCTTCATGGTGCATGGCTAGAAATGCCACATGGATAATACATCCCAGTCTTTTCATGAGATCTTCAGACTCCAGCCAATTTAGTTTACTCCATATTATTGTCAAGAAACAGCTGAGGGATGAGGTAGAGCAAAGGCAATGTGCATAACATCATACTGATTTTAATGCTGAAGACCTGTCCTCTAGAACTAGCTGTACACCTAGCCAAGCTGTTCCAGTGCAGCCACAATACTGGCTTCTACCTGAGAAAATGGAAGATTGAACAGGAGTTCCCTTCTGGAAAAAGCATGATAAATCCAATCTAATCAGTTACCACCTTCCCACTAATCACAGTGGTCGCTGAGTTAATAGAAGATGTCACTAGTGCTGCTTGATAAGACTATTAGTTTTCAAATAACCTGTTCCCTGATACTCAACAATGAAACTGCATTTTCAAAGAAGTTCTTGAATTCCCACATTGATATTTTTTCATTGTTACTATTTTCTTTATACAATTGTTGACTGTCCTAAAAAAAATCATTAATCTGTCTTTGATCAATGCCTCAATGTTAATTAGCTGTATATTTCTTAATAACACATTTAAATTACAATTCTTTATGACATTCTTTTAATATTTTATAAATCTTATTCAGTAACATAAAATAACTTTTAAATCTCTGATAAAAACTGAAAGATATAAATTATAATTGGTCAAAATTGATTACTAGTTAGAATGTTCTGTCCATTATCATCTCCATGCAGATATACCCATGGTAAAATGAAAAATGAATACTTGCTTTTAACCAGTTGTAACAGGCTAGAGTTAACAGAATCAGGTGATCTTGCTCCTTTTTTTGCAAGTCGACATGAAACTGCTCAAGACTTGAAGTAGCCAGATTGTCTGGTCAGAACATGAAAAGGTAAACAACCTTTGGAATATTCATTTGAGAAGAGGTTAAAAAGTAACAGGATTACATTTACGGACTTAACAGCTGTTGTCCTGTCAGTGTTTAGAAAAAACTGTTGCACATTTACCACTGGCTTGTTGGCTCCAGAATGGGTGTGACGAAAAATCACAAGGCCAAAATTAAATCTCATTGTGTGTCAACACTGATGTTGTCAGGGGCCACTTGTGTGAATAATAAGAACATGAAATACTGTGGCCAGCTAACAGAAAGCAGCTTGTGATGAAAAACATTTATTAACTCTTGAGAGAAGCCTCAGGTCAGTCAGTCTGAAAAAATAAAGAAACTAAAGAGGGTAGAGATCTCACAAAACAAAGGCAGATTCCCACCTAGAAACTACTAACAGGCAGGATGCTTTGACCTTTAACTTGAAGAACTTAAATAAAGGAGCTCTTCAACAACTTCGGCGGGAGCAAAGCCAGAAAGATACTATTTCAAGGAGTAAACCACTATGAATTTATCACCAGGAAATTCCAACCTCCATTTTCTTGGTGATATCAGACCACAATGTTTTTAGCTTCTATTCCACAACACAAGAGTAATAGAGACTTCTTGGACATTTCTAAAAGTGTAAGTGCATGCTACCTCTTTTGTAACCACCTCTTACACCATGTGTGTGTCTAAGTAAATGGATGTTACCCCTATTGCATTTGGGTGTTGAGAAATAAATATTCATCTTTTCAACCCTACAAGACGACCTGTCTTTTGTTAGTTCTTTACGCTGAATGTGTTAAAACACATCGTTGCAATTAGTCAAATGATGGAAGAAAGGGGAACCATCTTACCATCTCTCTTTATCTGTAACTCCTTGCAAACCTATTGCAACTCCTTCCCCTATTATTCGCTATTCAAGAGGCTGAGACTTGTCTTTTCTGGATTTTAAAGAAATAGAATTATTGGTTAAACATCTGCTGACAACACTTGCAATCCCTAGACAAAGGGCTGCACTTTATCTTCAGTGTCCCTATTAGAAAAGCAATTTAAATATGCACTCTGACTAAATTAAATCTAATTTCCAAAGATAGGATCTTCTTCAAGATTTTTGAGATCTATTTAATAATACAGTGCTTTATATTAGCTTTCCTCTTGAAAAGGGACAAAATTGCTTAGGACATTTAAAATCCCTTGAATGATCGATTCAGATTTCACTAGCTATTCATACATATGAATTTTTTTTTTACAAGATCATACTTCAAGCAGACACTGAAGGTTGAAATGTGTAGTGTCTGTCATTTTAATGTAACCTTTATTTGTAGAATGTGCGGTCTGGTTTTTATTGCTGCTTCAAGCTCTGAATTCCAGAAAAGCAATACCTTCAACTTCTGAAAGTTAACTTCAAAGAACATTCAAGTCAAAAAAAGAGAACTGTTGGACTTTAAATCCTATTAGTTGTCCGTCCTTTCAATACACTCTATCATTTCAGAATCATAGATTATAGTGAACTCATTATAAACAGCTGGATATGGAAATGTTCTTTTGTGAGTTATTGCTGGTTTCTATTCTTTGAAATATCCACTTGGTGTCAACTGGCAATTTTTGCACTATTTAGCAGTTGTACATTTGGCATTTAATATAAATTAGAAATGTAAATGTTGGTGCTGAAATACCTGTGATCTGTGGATCCACATTCCATGCCAAGCAGCTGATCTTAAGAGGTGGAAACAATTGAAACCCTGCTACTATGAATTACTAAATAGTCCTATGTCAAACAGAGAATATTGTACATCTATGTTTGATTTTCAGAAGCATGGACACTTGAGGGGATATTGATAATGGCTGAATTATATGTTGGCTGTTGTTATTTACCTTCCAGTCCCACTTAATATGAGGCTTGGGAGAGGGAATATCAAATACACCCTCTTTGTGGGAAAAACGTACAATGACAATGAGTACAGAAAGCTGACCAGCAAAACTAAACAAAGTCAGTTTATTATATTCAAGAATAGCAAACAAGTTGTAAACAGCAATAAACTGAAAAAAAAACGATAAACATGCAAACATGTTTAACCATGTTTAAACAATGGGAATTAATATTTCAAGACTAAGGGGTTAAAATGGATAGCAAGCAATGAACCCTAAAATATAATAGAATTCTACTTGTTGCTCAGAGAAAGTAAAATAAATGGGGAATACACAGAGATGTTGGTTTAGGGATTCAACTCACTAACAGTACAAACTGGAAATCCAGATGTATACTCCACCCAGAGTAGGTGAAAAAGTTGTCATCTTCATTATAAAAACTACATTACAAAATGGTTCAAATTTTACAATTGTTGATGAGGCACTTCGGTGTCACAAATGATCTGCCTAATTCAGGTGTGCACTTAACTAGTATTATGACCATTTTGTTAATATTATCGGGCTAATTTTGTACCACCAGCAAAAAAGCTTGAACTGCCAGTGGAAATCCTGACCACCAAGGCTGCAGAACCGAAATTCAGGCATATGCTGCACGATTTTGCAACCATTTAGACTGATGGGCAAAGAAAAAGTCATACATTACACCTTGTTAAATGTGTAGTATTTTCCCATTGTAAACGATCTATAGATTCATTGCATTAAGCATGTGATATGGAATTGTACTACATAAAAGTTCTTTCTCCCTTTTTGTATAAAGAGCTGACAAAGGAATTAAGGAGGCCTGTTAATATAGTGTGTTCAATGGAATTTCAAGTGACATTCAGTTAACGATCTGTCTTAAATTTGATTTTGTCCAGAATCTAATTGCAGTTGATGAATGTGTGATTTCAGAAATGGATCCAATTGATTGACTTGTTCATTCTTAATAGACTGTCATGGTGAAGTAGCTGTTTGGAGGAGAAAAAGAATGAAATATCAAAAGAATTAGATAGTTTTACTATCAAAATGGTTACATCACTTAAAACAGGAAATACCGATCATAGCAATAAACATGTTTCTGATATTATGGTTTCTGATATCATTCTAGTGAACCTTCTTTGAACTGTTTCCAATAAAATTATGTCTTCCCTTAATTAAGGAGACCAAAACTGCTCATAATACTCTAGATATTGTCTTACCAGCACCTTGTACAGTTGCAGTAAGACATCCCTACACTTATATTTCAAACCTATCAAAATAATGACCAACATTCCATTAATCTTCCTGATTACCTACCTGCTGCAACTGTGTACTAGCTTTTTATATTTCATATAAAAGTACCTAAAGTCCCTTTATGTTGCAGCTTTTTTGCAGTTTTTCTCCATTTATATAATACTATTCTTTAGTTCTCCCTTCCAACTTCACATTTTTTCCCCACATTATATTTTATTTGCCAATTTTTTGTCCACCTACTTGACCTATCAATATTCCTTTGTAAACTGTTTGTACCTCTCTCACAACCTGCCTTTCCATCTATTTTTGTGTCCTGCAAATTTGGTTCATTCACTTCCTTCCTTCAAGTCATTAATACACATTGTAAGCAATTTCAGTCCCAGCACTGATTCCTGTGGAACCCCACAGGTCATGGGTCACCAACCTGAAAAAGAACCCCTCATCCCCACTCGCTGTTTCCTGCCCATGAGCCAATTTTCTATCCGTGCCAATATATTATCTCCAACATCATGGACTCTTATTTTATGACTTAACATTTTGTGCGGTACCCCATCACACACCTTCTGGAAGTTCAAATATAATATCTCACTGTTTGCTCCTCTGTTTCCATTTTGATAGCAGTCCCCAACATCTCAGGGCACACTCCATGGGCAACAACTGTCCATACATTTGTCTTTAGAGCTCATCAGCACCTTTCGTGGTAACACTGACGTGCACCTAACTCAACTCATCAATGTGACCAGGCCGCATCTCATGGATCCTCACTTGCTGTCTTCATGCTTGCACACTTTGGACCTACTTCAATGCCCACAGCATCTCTGCCTTGTGTTTTGTGCTTTGCTTCTCATCTATAACTTAAGGCTGCTCACAGTACACTGCCTTGCCTTACTGTTTAGAGCACCCTAAAGAGCCAGGCAACTTGTCATGGTTGCCAGCTATGATCATTCAGGAGGTGAACATATTGCTGTGTGGCACTGTGTTACAGCAATGTTACACCACAATGGGCCAGCAGCTTACGCAGTAAACACACTGAATACACTTTAACTAAGTGGCCATGTTTCAAAATCTAAGGGGAGTAGGTATCATTCAGAAAGCACCAATGCAGTAAGCCAAAGACACAATTGGGGACAGTTTGGCTGGCTGTAGGTTACACTGGGCATTAGATTAAGAATAGCACTCAGGCAGGGTTCTAGGATGGGATGACATGATAACCAATCTATGTAGCTTCATTCTGAAATAGCAATAGCTTTACAAATGTACACTTGTATTCACAATGAAGTAACAACCTTGCCACCTATGTTCATTGAGAAGTGATTTTTTTGGTTCCCCTCCTACTATATGGATGTTGAAGGGCAATTTCTGGCTAGCGCACAATTGAGCTTTAAAAACAGTACCAGCAACTGACCTTCTGGCGAGAGGCAAGAGAGTGCAATTGGAGCACCATAGAGGAGGTTGCATAGTTAATGAGATGAGTTTCAGAGAATAGTCGTTCAGGGTCAGTGAGAGAAACTCTCCATGAAATTTGCTAAAATTGACACGTAGCTGATTTCTAGCAAAATACAGCCACTTATTTTCTGTATGTAACACCAATGAAAGTCATTGATCCTCAAAATGAATATATGAAAATCACAATATTACATCAGTCCTGTATTATTAGGAAAGTAACCAGTTAATCAGCCAGTAGCCCGACATGTTTTATGATTAAGAATTTATAAAATTACCTCGCAAAGTCAGGCATTTTTGATGCAATATGAAGAAATTCTGAAAGGCTTATACGGTCATCACCATCCATATCAATATCCGCCATGATCTTAAAGGGACAATATGAGATGTTAAGTATCCTTCATATAATCCATATGTATGTTTATGTTTATTTACTGAAAACAATACAATTTCAAAATTTGTCCTCATTTAGTTAGGATTCAATCACATCACTTTTTTTTTAAACTAAGGCCATGTGTTGCAAGACAGCTTCTGAATTGTTGCAGATGTTTGAACGTCAGTTCTCACACGAAGGGCCCTGTACACATCAGTGACCTGAATTTGCTGCAGCCATGAAAAAGGAATAAATAAGGCAAATATACATTTAGTTTCAATTCACAACAAAATGTAATTGGAAATGTGGGACATTTTATGTATGTTTTCATAATTTGAGCACAAACCTGAAAGACTGTTAACTTTTATACATCAAAAAACAAATCCATCAATTCCCCAACAAAGAAGTACAACAAAACAAACCATGTCAATAATGATCCTCATCTCCGTGTCAGTAAGAATGTTGTGAACCTCATTTCCAGTGATTAAAGCCAAGAATTTGATCAAATCTGAGCGATCTATTGCACCATTGTCATTGAAATCTGTTCCAAACAGAAAACAAATTAATATCCTTTTTATCAGTTTTTAACTGAAATATATGGATTCAATGGGATTGCTTTTAATCCTCTGGAATACAGAACACTTGACAGAGCTACTCTGATCTTTATATGCTTATATACTAGGGATTGAAAATCCAGCCTATTTGATATTGTTCTACAATCATTAAATCAGACTGGCACATGACAGAAGGGTCACAAACTATACCAAGACCCCAAAAAGCTGAGTACCAGTTTTCTTCAGCAGTTTCCACTGTCCTTCGTTTGAGGCCAAACCTCAGTTCTCCCCACACATGAGTCCCACTTCCTTTCAGAGCTGCGATTCCCCTTTCTTTTACTGATGGAAATTTATGTCCTTCAGTTCACTGAGTTTTGCCACTTAGCTGTCGTACTTCCTGCTCCTTCTGTCACACTGGAAAACTATTGCTGGGATTTTATTGGCCATCACGAACAGGCTAGGATCCAGGGCAATGAAAATTTGGGTGACACTGCATGCACATCAACTTCGAACCACAAGTGGTAAACAAACAGCAAGGAACATGGCACATGGTCCTGCCACCTTTAAGCCCTTACATTCCAATTAAGATAGGTTAGCTGCAGTGGGCAGGCACTTCGCAATGTGGAGCATGCCAAGTAAATCCAAATGGCCTTCCTGTGAGCTCCGTTGGGTACACTCATAATTAGGTATCCATTGAGCCAATGCAGGGGTCAAGATCTCAAAAGCAATCTCACGACCTTCACAAGTAACTGTCTTAACCCACACCACTCCCATCCTTGCTGAGGAATGACCCTGGCAAGCCAGCCAATTGGATTGTGAGATCTGGGAGCTCCTCCATTGATGCTGCTTTCCCCACCCAGTTGCAGTACTAACAGTGTCCACCAATCCCAGTGGCACTGATGAAACTGAGAAGCTGCAGCCCCTTCAATTGGTCAGCATTTCTTGAGAGCAGGACCCCATTCCTTCTAGGAAAATCTGAGAGCCCCTGACTTCAAAGAGCCATTTCTTGTGGTTTGTAAAATGCAGGTAGTGCTCCCCAAACCAATTGATGTACGGTTACCTCATTTTCTGACCCATTGGTAGGACCACCACCATGATAGGGAAAATAGAGTGCAGCCCTTTGTTTAATTTTCAGAAAGAAAAGTGCAGTTGATTTTTGAAGCCAATTATTTATCTCATCTCTGCTTTGCTATTTAGGTAAAAAACGTATTCATACTTTTTTGAAAGACACATGAAGGGATAGGAAAACAGTGTTTACTATTGGTAATTTAATTTATTACAAATGTCGAGCAATAAGTTGAATTCTGAAAGTAAATAAAGCATTTTTGAGATAAATATTTCAGTAAAAAGATCTGAGGGGAAAGGGTAAACAGGTTGGAGAGAAAGTGCCTATGTCTTCCTGGTATCCAACTTTGTGGTGAACTTGACAGTAAATTAGAGAAGAGGATTAATGATAGTGATTGAGGGGAGTAGCAGCAGATTCTCATAGCAGAAAGAATGTAGTGAAAGTGGCTGCTCCTGCCTACAGCATAGCACATATCTACTTACTGTTGATTCAAACCTTAAAGAAAAGAAAAATATAAGAGAGTCATAGAGTCATACAGCACGAAAACTGACCCTTTGGTCCAACCAGTCCATGCCAAACATAATCCCAAACTAACTTGTCCCATCACCTGCTCCTGGCCCATATCCCTCCAAAGCTTTCCTGAAGCGAAGAAGTACAGAATGAGGTTGGGTAAGGAATCGGGTAGACAAAAACATAGAGATAATCAGAAGAGGAAAATTAGAGAAAACACAACTGCAGGACATCGGCAGAGATGTGAGAGGGATCTCTCACTCTATTCTAAACTTGCATATTGCACACACAAAGTTTTCACTACTGAAATGTTAGCAGTTAGAAAAAGAGATGACTTTTTATAACCTTAATCACCTAGGCAGATCACAGGAGATCGACTAGGAATGCTTTAAGATTTGTTTGCATTCAATTACCTACATTAACACAAAAAATGTTATCAATAAATAACTTGGACCCATTCCTACCCAAGATTCTGAATGCATATTCAGCTTTCACACTGGCTGGAGCTGCTTCACTAAAAGCAGAAAACATATCAAGGAAATCTTCAAAGGAAATGCTGCCATTATTCAATTTGGACGTTGAGAATATTCGACAGATCCGTGTCTTAAATGGATTTGCCTGAAATTGGAAATGTTTTATACATGTCAAATATCTTAGGTGCAGAACAAAAATAGAACAACCACGGAATCATGCAGAAAAATCAGGTGCTAAATGAGAAAGCATGAACAGAAAAAAAATGTAACGGTGTAAAGGACAATACCAAGCCATTTTTTTATATACTATACATTGAGGAGTAAAGATACAGAGGGACACAGTACCATTTACTAATGACAGTGGAGAAGTACTGTCTGAGGATGGAAGTTGATAAAATAATTATGCTATCCCTTACCATAAAAAGGAAGGGACACTGAGCAAATTGAAAAGCTGCAAGACATCTGATCAAAAACCCTTTGTATTACAAAGTTAGCTTAACATAAGTAAAAAACATCATTTTAGCAATTTTTAGACAAACATGACAGTGGACTGATTGTCAAAGTAGCAAACCCCATCCAGGTGATAATCTAAGAAGCACAATTAAATCAGGTAATGAATTTCTAAAGAATTAGAACATAGCTCTTTTGCTTAAAAATGTTGCAAAGCATGATCCTTCGGATATAGGCCTTATGTTGTGTCTTGTGGTTCCCAGAGTTTGAATTACAATTTTAAACTCAATTTCATTGAACATTTTTCCAAGATCACAATATGTACTATATTAATGCAGTGCTGATTTAATATCCAGACTATTGTGCCGTAATGTGATGTGGCTGGACATTTATGCATACAATTTCATACAAATACAGCTGCTATATATTATTGAACTAATATAGCAATGTAACATTGTGAGCCTTATACCAATTTAAGAATAGCATATGGGATCATCTAGAAGAACAGGAACTGACTAGAGAGAGCCAAAATCAGTTCAAAAGAATCAATATGAATACATTTTTGCTGGAATTCATTGCAGAGGTTATAGTTCTGGTGGATAGGAAGAGGTTTTTTTTTAACTCAGTCACTTGGACTCACTCAGGCACAAACATCGACCAATGCACTGCAGCTTCGAAAATCACAAAAGGAAGGTCTTACATGAACTGTTTTCAAGGAGTGTTTTAACACCAGCATTCTAAAATTCGACTTTTCTGCTAACTTTGTACGTTACAAAAAGAAAAATGTGGCTGCCCAGGAAGCTTAAAGGAGAAGAACAGATTTTAACGTATTGACAACCATAATCACAACTCCATCTACTTGACGAGATCAGTTAGTGAGTTGCAGGAGAGATCAGTTAGCAAGTACAGAGGGTATCTGAAGAGCACCATGCACAACTGAAACAGCAGAAAATTCTCAGTGGTTAGAGACTCTGCTTGTGTGCTCCTGTCACTACTGATTTTGAATTTCAGATGTGATATGACTTTCCTACAAATGCAGGTTAGCAATGAATACTAACAGCTTAGGCAGACATTTCACAACATGTCAAGTGTCACACCTCACCGGGATAGTGCACTGGAAATCAAGCTGTCTGAGAGTCATTAAAGTTAAAGATTTTATCAAAGTATGCAAAATTCCATAATTGACCTAGCTTTTTAGACTTTGATTAACAGAAAGGACAGAACAAGTTTCTGTACTTAACAAGAATTACTATTTATCACAAGTAATACATTTTAGCTACAGGTAAACAAATATTAACTGTTAATACTCATCTGGTTAAAATTCTATACACACATCTATACACACATACAGACAGAAGACACAAAAACAACTGGTGTTACAGCTGGAGGGAAAACTGGGGCAGCATTTCAATAGTCCCTGTCTACAGTTCACTGAGACGTTTGTCAGGACTTGCTGCTCCTCCATATCTCTTTTCCAGGTACTTTCACTTGCTTACATGAGACAAAGAGCAACTACTTCTCTGATTTACTAGTTAAAACACAACTTACAGCAACTAATGAGGGAAAGTAAACTGGCTTTCTTCAGGTTTTAGGTATTTCCTACTACAGACAGACAGACAGACATTACTTCCCTTTCCAGAAATCCAAAGACTTCTGGGCTACCCTGTTCACACCTACAAGCTCTTCATCTTGCAGTTACTTGCAGGCCCAAAGCCTTTGTCATTGGCAACTGGTCACCACTCCACAAACCCATCAGTTACTTGTTGCCAGCCAAATCTCCTTTCACGCACACCCGCAGACTCCAGGTCTTCTCTGTAACTTCTTCCTGCCACCCCTGACTGCTTGAGCAAACAGCAGTGTAAACAGCACTTATAATGAGTGTTAGTAAACTGTTTTAAAAAGTACAGCAATCCCTTCCACAAGCCTTGTTTTGCGGAACAGTCTTTTATGAAAGTGGTGATATAAGTCAAAAGCATTATTTTTCTCTTATGCCTAGCAAACAGTAAAATTTGTGTCATCTCTAGGCCACAGTCTAGTTCTGAAAGAGCATTCAGTTAAAAAGAGGACACAAATTTTTGACTTCCACTAAGCAAAAACACTGAAGGAAGATACATTAAGACCGCAATGAATGTTGAACAAAAATTCAGGTGACCATAAAGACAATTTTACAACTTCACACAGCTGGTAGCCAGGCTCACCCTCAATAGTGCAAATCAGAAATCCATGCCTAAATTGGCTCGAAATCCAAAATGTAGTGATATGGTACTGCTCAATCAGAAAATTTATGTTTTGCATAACTTGTCTAAACATTGAATTTGATGGGATATATTAAGATAACAGGAGATGTATTGTTGCACTTACAATATTTCATTTCATAGCCCTGAGAAAATTGAAGGCAGTGCTTTATTCGACAAATTTCAGACTGTCGTGTCTCAGATGTTGCAGTTATTTAAGCAAATGTTTCAGGACAGAACATCCAAAGGACATTTACAGATTAATCCATTTTAATCAAATCAGCATTTTGTCAATTTGATCCTTACCTTTAACTCATTGATTTGTATCATTTGTTGTATAGGAGATCTTACAGTGCGTCGAGTAAAATCTTTAATATGTTCTGGAACTAGCTCTTTAAATCTCTCACAAGCTCTGAAAGATAGCAACAATAAGGTCCCTAGTTAAGTATTTTTGTGTTACATCTCTATATATTTTACATATTCAAATTATCAGTAAGAAGGTTTCATTTTCCAGGTTGCTTCATTGTTTTGCTTTTAAATTACATGAAGGAAGAGTACTTTACTAGGCACCAAGGAAGAGAACAAATTTCATTCCTGCAGCATTTGTATATTGATCTTAGTTATGTAGGAAACTCAACACAAGCTGCCATTTTCTCAGAAGATTCCACAAACAGACACTTAGCTGTTTAAGCCAGGGGTTGAATATTTAGAACAAAGAACAAAGAAAATTACAGTACAGGAAAGGCCCTTCGGCCCTCCAAGCCTGCACTGACATCAGGACAGCAAAAAATCTCTGTGTTTTGGTTCTGGAAGAATCTAGTAGGCTTATATGATATAATGGGCTACAAAGTGAAGCACAGTAGAATCGCTGCATCACTCCCCATTGAACTCAATGCACTCTAAGTTTGTTTTGAACAGAAGGTCAGTGAAATGATTTCACCTCCCCCAACAGCCTCGGGTGCACTTGTATCCACGGTCACTGCCAAAAACGTCAGGCTGGCCTTCTAGACAGTCAAGGTGTAGAAAATGACCAACCCAGATGGAATCGCCAGCCGTGCACTAAGATCCTGAATGGACCAGCTGACAGGACTATTTGCAGACATCTTTAGTCTCTCCTCACTCCAGTGTGAGGTTCCCACCTCCTTCAAGGAGACCACTATCATCCTGGTGCCAAAGGAAAATCAGGCACTGTGCCTTAATGATTACCGCCCAGTGGCTCAGACATCATCATTATGAAGTTCTTCAAGAGGTTGGTAACAACACACATAAAGTCCAGCCTCCCAGATTGCCTTGATCCACTATAATTCACCTACCATTGAAATAGGTCCATGCAGACACCATTTCCCTTGAACATCTAGATAACAAGGACACCTATGTCAGAATTCTATTTATTGAATTTAGCTCCACATTAAACACCATAATTCCAACCAAGCTCATCTCCAATTTCTGAGGCTTGGGACTTTGCTTCCCCCTCTGTAACTGGATCCTGAATTCCTGACCCAGAGACCACAATCAATAAGGATAGAGGACAACACCTCCTCCACAATGATCCTCAACATCAGTGCCCCACAAGGTTGCATACTCAGCCCCTTACTAAACTCCTTACACTCTCACGACTGTGTGGCCAAATTCATCTCTAACTCTAACTGACCCACCATCGTGGGTCAGATCATAAACAACAATGAGACAGAGTACAGCAAAGAGTAAGCTTAGCAGCACACTGTATAGACAACAATTCTCCCTCACTGATGGAGCTGGTCATCAACTTCAGGAAGCAGAGGGGACACAGTAGAGGACACAGCCCTCTCTGTATCAATGGTGCTGAGGTGGAGGTGGTTGAGAGCTTCAAGGTCCTAGGAGTAAATACCACCAACCATCTATCCTTGTCCATCAACTTTGATGCCACAGTCAAGAAAGCACACCAATGCCTCTACTTCCTCAGAAGGCTAAGGAAATTTTGTATGTCCACAATGACTCTGACCAATTTTTATAGATGCACCATAGATAGCATTCAATCCAGATGCAGTGACTGCTCTGCACAAGACTGCCAGAAATAACAGAGAGTGGTGAAGACAGCCAAGTCCACCAGCATTCCTTCCATTAACTCTGTCAACACTTCCTGCTGCCTCAGGAAAGCAGCCAACATAATCAAAGACCCCTCCCACCCCAGCTATACTCTTTTCCACCCTCTTCCATTGGGCAGAAGATACAAAAGTAAAGTGACCCATCCACAATCTTCTCAGCGTCAGGTCTGCACCATAGTGCCCCAGCTGCTTCTATATCAGCTGGAGCTTGTGTTGTTCCAGTCACAGGCACCTCCTGCACATATTGACTTCCAGACCACCAGGAGTATCTAGGATTTCACATATAGTGTAAGATGTGTAACACAGGGCCTGAGTTCCCCAAACATATTCTACTTAATTAAGATTTGGACCCTTGCTTTTATTTTATGCTTATTCCTACTTAAGTATAGGCTAGAAAAATCTTATTCTTGTTTATGTCAAGCAAACAACCAGAAGGCCTTAACTCTACCAAGTGAAGAAATTTAGTTTCGAAGTCCTAAGCTATTAATTATCTATGTAAAGTTTTAAGGCAGCAATTACAGTGTCAATTTAAATCAATATCCGGTCACAAGAGACAAGAGAGAAATACCCATCAGTTACCTACCTGCTGTCCTTTAATGTCATGCTTTGCATTTGTTGAATGAGCTTCACATTTCTTTTTTTATTTCTGGGAATGCTCTGTGCTCTCTGCTTATTTTAATCTCATTGTCACCTTCCTGAGTCTCACACAGTTGTGCTCCCTCCCTCCCCACCCCACCACCTGTCTCTCCACTTCTGGGATCTTTCTGTGCTCACTTCTCATTTTACCCTCACTGCCACCTCTCCTGAGTTTGTATCTTTTGTTATTGACCAGACCAAATCCCCCTCAAAATATATTAAGAAAAAAGTCTAGACCCCAACTTTTTCTTATTTTTAAAGGCAAATGTAAGGTGTTGTGTTCCGGATGCAGCTCGATTGGTCAAACTATCAGGCTTGAAGCAAAACTTAATTCTTACGCTATATAAAAAACAAATAAAAGAAAGAAGCATTCAAATATTTTAATTCTACTGCAACACTTAACAGAATAATAGATTATTTAATTACTAAACAGTAACTGTTCCAATATAGTAACATCCCATAAACACACTCCTGGCAAAGGCAAATTCAGTAAAATACATTGTCTCACATGCAATTCTCTAGTCTAGGAGAAAAGAACATCAAGAGAAAACTCTGAGAGAGAGAATTCAAGCATTTTGTTGTAGCAGGGAGCATTGTACAGCAGCTTCCAAACCCCAACGGTTACTGAAAATTAAACCATAATCCTGGTTCTGTGGGAGCTTGACCCCACCCCTTCATGCTGCTTCTATTGTTCAAATTGAAAACAAAACCCAGGGCCTCACAAGATGTTTACTTTATTGGCTTGGAACAGACTGCTTAGCGACTCTGTCTCAACCTTTCTTCATAAACGAAACCAGGACAAATGCACCTCTTAAAACCATAGTATTGTCAGACTTCTTCTGGACAGAGTTCAAACACCAGGGGTGATTTATAATTCTCTACATATTTTTTGCAAGGCTTTTCATTGTGATACCCAATGGTACTGCAAAAAGGGCAGACATATAAATTACTAATGTCACCAAAGCAGCCACAGAATCATTACAATAAAGTCCATCAAACATGTAATAGACTAAGTAAGATACACAAGTATGTAGAAAAAATTGAGAGGGGTCTTATTGAGAAATCCAAAATACTTAAGGGAATACACTGATAAATCCTGTTCACTATGGTCCTTATGATTGGCCATGAGTGAAAATCTGATTTGACTGTTTAACTCATGATGATAAACATTTAAAATGAATTACTCCCTGAGTTAATTCAACTAAGAGCATAAGAGAAAAGAGCAGGAGTAGACCAGTTGGTCCCTCAAACCTGTCTTACCATTCAATCGATTATGGCTGATCAGTCACAGGCCTCATCATCTCTTTTGTTCCAGATCCTAATTGCCCTTAACTCCTGAATATTTTAGGAAATCAACCTACCTCCTCTTTAAATACGTTCAGTAACCTCGCCTCCACAAAACTCTGAGGTAGAGAATTCCAGACAATCACCACCCTTTGAAATAAGAAATTCCTTTGCATCTCAGTTTTAAATGAGTGTCCCCTTGCTCTGTAAATATGTCCTCTAGTTCAAGATGCCTCAACTAGTGAAAACATGTTTTCATCTTGCTTTCATCGTCTCAACATTTACCCCATGAAGCCCTCTCAGAATTTTGTATTTAAATAAGAACACTTCTAAACTTTAATGAATAATCTGTTCAGTTGTTCATGTTAGGTTAACCCTTCATCTCAGGAATCAGTCTAGTGAGTCTCTTTTGAACTGTCTCTAATGTCCATATCTTATTTTTAAAATATTGAGACCAAAACTGCACAAAATAGATGATAACATAAGTCTTTTTAAGGGGGAATTATCCAGTCATGAAAATAAATTTTAAAACATAAGTAGCAATCTGAGAGTTCAATCCTTCAACTAAGTGAGGGCTGACTGAACCAATACTATTTCCTCTGGCATCATCAGATTTCCAGCATCCACAGTTCTTTGTTTTATTTCCTCTAGTCCTGTCCTTGTATTCTTATCTGTCAGATGGTATAAATACTCAAGTTATAGTCTAAAATATCCATTTGAAATCACAAGCTTTCATAGCATAGCCCCTTCGTCAGTTGGTGAGAAAGAAGCACATAGGCGCAGAATTTATAGGCAGAGAGAGAGATTAAAGGCAGAGAGATCAAAAGATCATACAAGTGGTACGAGTGCAGTGTCGAATAATAAATCTCTGCAGATGATCAAAAGTGTCAGACGGTGTGAGTAAAGTGTCAACAGCTGAATAACAAGCGAAGGGATGTCCAATAATCTGATTAAAAGAGAGAGAGGGATAATTACAAAAATTTAAAAATAAGGTGGTTCTAGAGACGAACCAAATGACTGGAATAACATGTAAGCAATAAGAGTCACATGCCAAGGGTTTAACCAAAGTATAAGTAATCCAAAACTGTACAAATTAATTAAGTGAAAAAAAATAAATAATTTATCAAAGAGATGGTGTCAAAACAGTATAGTAAGGAAGATTTTACAGATACAGAACAGTGTGGTGGGGTCACATGCAGTGCAACATGAGCCCAAGATCACAGATGAGGCTGTCTTCATGGGTACAGAACTTGGCTATCAGTTTTTCGTTGGCAATTCTGCACTATTGTGTATCTTGAAAGTGCCCAAAGATCGGAGACTGAATGTCCATGACCACTAAAAGTGTTCCCCAATTGAGAGGGAACACCCCCGTCTCATGATTGTTGCACGGTGTCCATTCATCCGTTGTCATAGTGTCTGCATGGTCTCACCAATATACCATGCCTTGGGGCATCCTTGCCTGCAGCGTATGAGAGTGACAACATTGACTGAGGCACATGAGTATCTGCTGTGTATGTGGTGAGTGGTGCTCCCAAGTGTGATGATAGTATCCGTGTCAATGATCTGACACATCTTGCAGAGGTTGCCATGGCAGTGTTGTGTGGTGTTGTGGTCGATGTTGTCCTGAAAGCTGGGTAGTTTGTGGCGAACAATGTTCTGCTTAAGGTTTGGTGGTTGTCTGAAGGTGAGAAATGGAAGTGTAAGAATGAGATGGTCGTCGTCATCGATAACATGTTGAAGGCCGCAAAGAACGTGGCGTAGTCTGTCCGCTCTGGGGAAGTACTGGACAACAAAGGGTACTCTATCAGTTGTATCCTTTGTCTGTTTTCTGAGGAGGTTGTTGCTATGAGACACTGCCAGCTACGAGACACTGCCAAGCAGACAAGGCAACAGAAATACACCACCTACATGCACACCAAGAACAAGAAACAGGAGAAACTTGGCATCACCACCAGCAGTAACCAAACCTCCCCGGTACCACGGTTGAAACCAGTACCACCACAGGGAAATCCATCATCAACGTATCTGACCACACCCTTCCACCGGACAAAGTCGAAGTTCTCAGCTGAGGGCTCAATTTCTGCCCCACTACCAAAATGGACCCCATTGGTCTTGCAGAGGAATTTATTATGTGAATAAGGTTCTGGGAATTCTACCAC